CCTCAGTGCTGGACAGTGTTGTGATGTGAGTCCCTCAGTGCTGGACAGTGTTGTGATGTGAGTCCCTCAATGCTGGACAGCCTGCTGTATGTTCACTGTGTACTGTGTCTCCAGCGTGTTCAGTGTCAGTAGGAGAAAGACCCAGAACATACTGCACTGCAGTAAAGGCAGGTTTCTCACATTACAGCTTAAATGTGGAATAGGATACCCAGTACGCCACCTCACCTCCTGTCACGCTGTCTGTTTTTCTCCCTCTGCCCCCGTTCAGTTTATTTCAGGCCGCGGTACCAGCCTGTCCTAGGTGTTGTTAAAATATCTCTCTCTAACAGGGCTGTTCAGGACACAGAATAACAGTGGAATCAGTTGCCAACTTATGATGATCTGTCTCTCTACTGCCATCCTCCACTGCTTTCTGCCAGTATCCCTCTCACTGTCACATTGGTGTTCATTCACAGTATTATTTGGAAAATATTTCATCTTTAACAGCAGTTTCCTCCCTCTCTCTCTCTGCTGTCTTATCTTTCTGCCCCTCTCCCAGGTCAAAGCAGTGCTGGGTCCGGTCATGGCAACTCCAGCCTATGTAGGGGAGCTGCAACAGTCCTCCCAGCCTCAGGGGGGCGGTGTGGTGACAGGACAGGCACAACAGACCCAGCCACCCGCTGCTCCCCCTCCCACGCCAGCACAGTACATGGCAGAGCTGCAAAGCGCTCCTCCCCCCCAAGCGGGACAGAGCAATACCACTCCTGCAACTCCCTCTGGGCAGAAATCGGCCCCCCCGGCTGGCACTGCCCCCCCACAGACACCTACGCAGACGCAGTATGTTACCGCGGAGATACAGAGTTCACCCACCCAGCCTGGCAGTGGCCAGGGCACTGCGCAGTACATCGTGGTCACTGTCACAGGTGAGAAAAAGATGCACTGTACAAACACCAACACATTGAGGGATAGACTCACTGTAAACACACTGACACATTTTAACACACTGTACATACAGTGACACGTGTACACACACTGACGCACTGAGGAATAGACTTACTGTACACACACAATGGCACACTGTATATACACATTGACACTGTACACGTACTGGTATTCTAAAGCATACACATATGTGTACACACACTGAGTCAGTCTGCATGTGTCAGTGTGTTTCACTGAGTCAGTGAGTTTATTTCAGGGAGTGCTATATTCAGACTAACCTAGCAAGTGTCAGGTAACATTGATATTGCATTGCCAAGCTGGGTGGACAGAGCGGGAGGGAGAGAAAAAGAGAGAGAGAGCTATTGTCCTTAAAGGCCACCAATAAAAGGACTGTAAATGTCTGAGTTGTACTGTGGGAATACAGTGGCTGTATGACTACATAATCACAGTAACCCTGTAAACAGGTCTGTACCAACCTAACTCAGACTCTACAAACACAGTATTCTTCATGTGCTCAGAACTACATCCTCCACACATGTAGAAGCGAACAAGAGTGATGGGGAGACAGGGACAGAGAGTGTGACAAGGGAACAGAGACAGTGATGAGTGGGCAGAGGGACAGAGAGAGTAGCGAGGGTATAGAGGGACAGAGAGAGTGAAGAGTGGACAGAGAAAGTGATAAGTGGACAGAGGGACAGAGAGAGTGACGAGGGGCAGAGGGATAGAGAGAATGACAAGGGGACAGAGAAAGTGATGAGTGGACAGAGAATGATGAGGGGCAGAGGGACAGAGAGTGAGGAGGAGAGGGAGTGACTCGGGAGCTATAGTGCGAGGAGGAGAGGGAGTGACTCGGGAGCTATAGTGCAAGGAGGACAGGGAGTGACACTAGAACTATAGTGCGAGGAGGAGAGGGAGTGACTCAGGAGCTATAGTACGAGGAGGAGAGGGAGTGACTCGGGAGCTGTAGTGCGAGGAGGAGAGGGAGTGACGCTGGAGCTATAGTGCGAGGAGGAGAGGGAGTGACTCGGGAGGTATAGTGGATGCTGCACATTGGTGGAGGGGATCCCCATTACCTGTAAAGCGCTTTGTTTGGAGTGTCCAGAAAAGCGCTATAAAAGTATAAGGAATTATAATTATTATTGTAGAGTGAGGAGGAGAGGGTGTGACTCGGGAGCTATAGTGTGAGGAGGAGATGGAGCGACACTACAGTAATGCACTAAAGTGTCCAGGTGCTATAGTGTGAAGGAGGAGAGGGAGTAACAGAAGGAGGAGAAGGAACACACACTGTCTGACCTTTCTGACTGCAGTTTTGTTGTTCCCATCTCTACAACGTTCCCAATCTGATACCTGTGTTTATGTGCAGAAGGGATTGTTTCTGTAGCCCCTGAGATTAGCTGTTCAAGGCTGTTTTCTCAGGATATAAAGCATCAGGCCTCAGCCTAAGCACATCCCACTTTCTCTCTCTATTCCTCCCTGTGGCTCCATCACTCTCTCTTTCTCTCTCTGCATCCTGAGAATGATGTACTACCATAACTGGTTTTATAACCTGGATTGTGGATACCGTAAGTAAAGATTTCTCTCTCAGTGTAGTGTTATTATACTGTAGGATACAGTTAGTCTAGTATCAATATTAACCTGCTTTCTCAGT